TTGACTGACTTGCCCGATGATCGGCGAGCGATAGAAAACAAATGGATCTTTAAGAAGAAGACAGACGCGGATGGTAATGTTACCATCTATAAAGCTCGACTTGTCGCTAAGGGTTATCGGCAAGTTCAAGGGATTGACTACGATGAGACTTTCTCTCCCGTAGCGAAGCTTAAGTCCGTCCGAATCATGTTAGCAATTGCCGCATACTATGATTATGAGATATGGTAGATGGACGTCAAAACGGCATTCCTTAACGGTTATCTTAAGGAAGAACTGTATATGATGCAGTCGGAAGGTTTTGTCAATCCTAAGAATGCTAGCAAAGTATGCAAGCTCCAGCGATCCATTTATGGGCTGGTGCAAGCATCTCGGAGTTGGAACATTCACTTTGATGAGATGATCAAAGCGTTTGGGTTTATGCAGACTTATGGAGAAGCCTGCGTTTACAAGAAAGTGAGTGGGTGCTCTGTAGCATTTCTCATATTATATGTAGATGACATACTTTTGATGGGAAATGATATAGAATTCTTGGACAGCATTAAGGCCTACTTGAATAAGTGTTTTTCAATGAAGGACCTTGGAGAAGCTGCTTATATATTAGGCATCAAGATCTATAGAAATAGATCGAGACGCCTCATAGGTCTTTCACAAAGCACATACCTTGATAAGATTTTGAAGAAGTTCAAAATGGATCAGTCCCACAAAGGGTTCTTGCCTGTATTGCAAGGTGTGAGATTGAGCTCAGCTCAATGCCCGACCACGGCAAAAGATAAAGAAGAGATGAGTGTCATCCCCTATGCTTCAGCCATAGGATCTATTATGTATGCCATGCTGTGTACCAGACCTGATGTAAACCTTGCCGTAAGTTTGGTGGGTAGGTACCAAAGTAATCCCGGCAAGGAACACTGGACAGCGGTCAAGAATATCCTGAAATACCTGAAAAGGACGAAGGACATGTTTCTTGTTTATGGAGGCGACGAAGAGCTCGTCGTAAAGGGTTACGTCAACGCTAGCTTCGACACAGATATGGATGACTCTAAGTCACAAACCGGATACGTGTATATGTTGAATGGTGGAGCAGTGAGCTGGTGCAGCTGCAAGCAGAGCGTGGTGGCGGGATCTACATGTGAAGCGGAGTACATGGCAGCCTCGGAGGCAGCGCATGAAGCTATTTGGGTGAAGGAGTTCATCACCGACCTAGGAGTCATACGCAATGCATCGGGGCCGATCAAACTCTTCTGTGACAACACTGGAGCTATTGCCCTTGCCAAGGAGCCCAGGTTTCACAAGAAGACCAGGCACGTCAAGCGTCATTTCAACTCCATCCGTGAAAATGTTCAAGATGGAGACATAGAAATTTTCAAAGTACATACGGATCTGAATGTCGCAGATCCGTTGACTAAACCTCTCTCGCGAGCAAAACATGATCAGCACCAGAACTCTATGCGTGTTCGATTCATCACAATGTAACTAGATTATTGACTCTAGTGCAAGTGGGAGACTGTTGGAAATATGCCCTAGAGGCAATAATAAAAGTGTTATTATTATATTTCTATGTTCATGATAATAGTCTTTCATTCATGCAATAACTGTATTATCCGGAAATCGTAATACACGTGTGAATACATAGACCACAATATGTCCCTAGTGAGCCTCTAGTTGACTAGCTCGTTGTGATCAAAAGATAGTCATGGTTTCCTGGCTATGGACATTAGATGTCATTGATAACGGGATCACATCATTAGGAGAATGATGTGATGGACAAGACCCAATCCTAAGCATAGCACAAGATCGTGTAGTTCGTTTTGCTAGAGCTTTTTCAATGTCAAGTATCTCTTCCTTAGACCATGAGATCATGTAACTCCTGGATACCGTAGGAGTGCTTTGGGTGTATCAAACGTCACAACGTAACTGGGTGACTATAAAGGTGCACTACAGGTATCTCCGAACGTGTCTATTTGGTTGACATGGATCGAGACTGGGATTTGTCACTCCGTGTTTTCGGAGAGGTATCACTGGGCCCACTCGGTAGTGCATCATCATAATGAGCTCAAGGTGGCCAAGTGTCTGGTCACGGGATCATGCATTACGGTACGAGTAAAGTGACTTGCCGGTAACGAGACTGAACGAGGTATTGGGATACCGACGATCGAGTCTCGGGCAAGTAACATACCGTCTGACAAAGGGAATTGTATATGGGGTTTGATCGAATCCTCGACATCATTGTTCATCCGATGACAACATCGAGGAGCATGTGGGAGCCAACATGGGTATCCAGATCCCGCTGTTGGTTATTGACCTGAGAGCATCTCGGTCATGTCTGCATGTCTCCCAAACCCGTAGGGTCTACACACTTAAGGTTCGGTGACGCTAGGGTTATTAGGAAGACTTGTATGTGATTATCGAATGTTGTTCGGAGTCCCGGATGAGATCCTGGACGTCACGAGGAGTTCCGGAATAGTCCGGAGGTAAAGATTTATATATGGAAAGTGGTTAAACGGACACCGGAAAGTTTCGGGGGCATTCCGGTATTGTACCGGGGCCACCGGAAGGTTTCCGGGGGTCCACCGGGAGGGGCCACCCCTCCCGGGGGGCCACATGGGCTGTGTGGGAGAGGGAGCCAGCCCCTAGTGGACTGGGCGCGCCTCCCCACCTAGGCCCATGCGGCTAGGGCAAGGGAAGGGGACGCCCCCCTAGCTTGGGGGGCAAGCCACCCCTCTTCCCCTCTCCCTTTGGCTGCCGCCCCCCTAGGGTTTCCCCTAGAGGGCCGGCCCCCCTTGCCCCTTCCCCTATATATAGAGGGGTGAGGGGAGGGCTGCTGACACACCACAAGCCAAGGCGCAGCCCCTCCCCTCCCCAACACCTCTCCTCCTCCGTACGTGCTTGGCGAAGCCCTGTCGGAGCACTACTGCACCACCATCATCACGCCGTCGTGCTGCCGGTGGAGCTGTCTTCCTCAACCTCTCCTTCCTCCTTGCTGGATCAAGACGGAGGAGACGTCGCCCGTACCGTACGTGTGTTGAACGCGGAGGTGCTGTCCGTTCAGCACTTGGTCATCGGTGATCTGAATCACGTTGAGTACGACTTCATCATCACCACTCCCTCGAACGCTTCCGTACACGATCTACAAGTGGTATGTAGATGCTAACTCACCTCCTTGACTCGTTGCTTAGATGAACTCATAGATGGATCTTGGTGAAACCGTAGGAAAAATTTTAATTTTCTGCAACGTTCCCCAACACGCCGCCCAAACCCTAACCCCAGCCCGATCCGCCGCCGCCGACGCCGCCGCGCCGCACCCACTACAAGAAATATGTCAACTTGTGACCTTGACTATTGGTCACTGAAAGGTCATTCTTTTTCATTTGCAACCTTTTTGTGACCAAAAACAGAAGGTCAAAAGCTAGCGGTCGTAAACTGAAATTAATGACCTTCTCTATGAGAAGGTCGTAGACGTTTACGACCAAAACAGAAGGTCGTTGAACCCATGACCTTCTGTTTTGGTCACTGGCTGTCTGCCCAGGCCACGTCAGATCCAACGTGGCAATCTGATGTGGCAAAACTATGACCAATTGAAATGGTCACTGACAAGAATCAGCCCGGTCCGATTGAGTGTTTTACATGGTCCTAGCCCATTAATTTTGCCTTTTATATATGTTTTTTTCCTGTCAATTTACGCTAGCTACATGGGTCAAGCCCAACAATTTGGCCTTTTTGGTTTCTAAGACACAGAACTTTACGGTCCATTTCTTTTTGGGCCTCGGCCTTTTAAAAGTTGACTTCTTTTTTGGGCCTCAGCCTTTTTTCATGCTATTCACGTTTTGGGCCTTGGCCTCTACCAATAAGTCCAACTCATCAACTTTCTATTTCTCACATTTTCACAGTACACAAATGACAAATATTTCAAATGAAACAGAACTATATACTTAAAATGATAGCCAAAATTAGCCTATTACAATCTTTACATAGTGTTCATACAACCAGACCAGTACACAATACAATGTAACTAGCTATGAAGTACAACCAGAACACAAGGCATATTGATAGATAACCACCACGCTTCATCGTCTTCCTCTTCCAAATTCCAAGAAACAAATCACCTAGCATTAGAAGGATCACGCATCAGAAGCATATAAAATCTTTCAACCATCAATATAGTTTGCTTACAAGAAAACATATGGTTTGATTTTAAAATCCATCAGAAACACTTGACCCAAGAGATGCAACTACCCGAATGCTTCATTCAAGATTTAACACAGTAACTCTACAGACAGAAAGTAAACTCAAGGTAACCTCTTTGCACATCACTTATTTATGAACGGAGGGAGTGATATTCAGCTTCCGCAGTCAAAGGAGACCCGTAAACTCATTGCGCACGGTTGCAAAAACACATTATGCAACAACAATACAACATCAATGTGTGTGTGTGTGTGTGCCGCGGTTACCTACATATCCTACTAAGCAAAGCCGGCAGTCAGGTTGTTGGTCTTTTACTTGTCGAACTAACAATCTATGGATTTTGTAGTCTAAATGAGATCTGTATAAACTAATTGCACACAATTGCAGCAGCGCCATCGAACCAACGGATGAACAAACCGACCCAGTGAGACCAAGAAGGAAAACAAGCAGATCATATGGGAGGGGGTGGTTACCATCCTGGCGCGCTCGCCCTTCTCCTGGATGGCATCATCCTTAAGCACCCTCTCCATCTGCCCAACCATAGAGACGGAGAGAAATAATGTCAGGAACACATCGCATTGATCCAGCCACGGAGAAGAGAACAGAAAGAAAGAAAGAAAGAAAGAAAGAAAAATCACTAGTATTATGTCTGAAAAATCACTAGCTAGCATGCTGCATTACTAGTTTGCCAATTATCCACGCCACAGAAACAACATGAATCGAACCACAACAACAAATCAAATCTGGGGCTCACATGAGGACTAAGACGGTGCTCAAGGGGCGCTCAGGCTTGTTCGAGTCTTTCTTGGCCTTGCTCTTCTTCACCACAAGTCTGCATCGCCACAGAAACAATAGCAGCAAATATCAACCAATGCACATACTTTTATTACCAGGCAGAGAGATAGCTCAAAACAGAACATATATCATTTGAAAGAAGGAAATCACCCATAATTAATAGGGAGAGGTATAACCAAAAGAAGTTCATTTGTCTTCCAAGTATAAAACATCAAGTGCACAAACTCACATCAGTTAACATCATTATAGAATTTCAGATAACATGTTTACTGCAAAAATTCAGTTAACATATTCTGTGCACATGTTCAGTTAACAGTTTAGGTGCTCTAATTCAGTTAAAACTGCAGCATATAACAAATTCAGTTAAGTAATCCGAATAGCTTGTGTTTATTGCATTTACTGAGAAAAACATATACAATGCCATTTACTCAAGTTGTGTGTAAACATGACTAAGCTTGACAGATACAGGGAAGAAAAAAACTGAATAAGATAGCAGTCAATGACCTTATAGCTTTGAATGGAAACCCATAGCAAGCATATATATAAATCAATTTAAGCATAAAAGGTATGAAGATGGTAAATAGGAATACATAATGTGGACTACATAACGAAAGTCAATTTTTAGTGGAACACATAAAGTGGATTACATCTTGTTTGGTTATTAAACACTAAATAGTAAGTTATATATAAATCTCGCACAGATATGAACATGACCAGATTCAAAGAGGACTAATTTACTCTAAAATCTCATTTTTATCCCCTTACACTTCTCAAACATAACCACTACCTGGAGCATCAATAAACACAAGCTAGCCTATGAGAATGTCAACAATTGCAGCAACAACTGAAATGCTAGCCCTTTCACGATGCCACAGAACCTCACCATTTACAATCACTAACAAGCTAGCGGCAAATAATCAGAGAGTTGTGCAGTAGAAATGTACAGTGAGTTACCTGAGCAGAGAGCCGGTGGCAGCGGCCAAGTGTGAACGAAGCGGGAATCAATGTCTTCGGGCAGCCGCTCAATCAGCTCATAGACCTCGCACCCCACGACCTTGCGGGCATGCACGTCGACGCCAATCAGGTGCTCGTCCTGGAAGAAGCAGACCACGTTGGGTTGGTCGGATGGATGAGCTGTTGGCAGCTCACGCAGGACGATGACAAGAACCTACAGACCGCAAAGGCAAGAAGGTCAAAGAAGGAGCCTAGCAGAGCAACAATCGAATGAAGCAGGACATCTGGTAGGTCTACCCAACCTTGATGTCCATACATGGCGAGGACGCAATACACAATAGCCCTTTCTTGTGTTCTGCAGGTTGCAGCTTCTCTGTGACAAATTATGAATTCAGAGAAAAGTATCAGTACTAGAAGGAATTGAAGTGGATGCATTGATGCGAGAGCTCACGCTTTTCGAATAGCAGCGAGATAAGGGCCTCCTGTGGAGCCTCTGCCGGCCATGGCGCAAAGCTTGGTTGGAAGAAGCAGATCCATCAACTGGGAAAATCATGGCTCCGTGAGATGCTTGAGCCTATCAGCCACAAGACCCTATCCTTCTCTGTGTTCTCCAGCAGCCCCTGCATGCATCATCCACAACAGCAGACCACCACATCAACCGCAGCTCAAGGAAAGGATTTTACAACAGTATTAGGTTGCAAAAACAACTCTAAGAGACTGATATTGTAAGTTCATTGACATTCACAAGCCATTTGCATTTTTATTCAGAACTATGCAACACCATTGACATTACTTTCACAACAGAAACAAGAACCCATGGTGCATTGTAAAAAAAATATGCACTCATTTGTCACTTGAAAGGGACTTCCAGAATGAGTGTGTAGTGTATATATTCTGGTGAGCAAGTATTGATCCAGTATGAAAGATCTAACACAGAACCATCATTTTTTCCTCTATGGAAATACAATGCTAGCATCCAGAGGCAAATACAATACTTAGTGAGAACTTACTACTGTGCATGAAAACATGAATGTACACGAGACTTTGCAAACTGGACAGACTTTGCCAACCATAACAGACAACTAAATCTCGTTTCAATTGTCCCGCAAAAGTTCATAGCAAATCTGGATGAATGTTTGGCAAAAAAATCAAAAGGGGCTGCTCATCTTGGTAGAGGAATTCATGGCCAACAACTGGGAGGAGGGAAGGGGGCACGAACGAGGGTCCTTCACCTGATTCGGTCGTCGGCTGGAGTGGGGCGCCGTTCACCGGAGTGGTGCCCTGGTCGGACCGACCAGGAGCTGCTGCGAGGGAGGAGCCGCGCCCTAGGAGTCGCGTCAGAGGATGGAGAAGCAGCGGAAGATGGGCTCCTACCCATCGTCCAATGTGGCCGGAGCTAGCCGCGGCGAGGAGCTAGAGACCGGCGGCGGCCTCTCCTTCAACTGCGCCTTGACCTCGTACACCTTGGCCAGCCTCTCCTTCAAATGCGCCTGGCCGGATCGACCAGAATCAAAACATAATAAACATACAAAACATATGTGGAAATGAGTTTCTATTTAAAACAACAAATATCCCTAAATGAACAGATCTCGGTACCACTATCCTGACATGGTAGAGAACTATCTGTAAGCAGACCCACATTCCCACATATGTATTCATCTGCCAACCACTCACGAGAAATAACAAATAAGTTGAGATTTTACAAGTTCAAGTCACAAATACCGTAATATCTCACATGCGTCACTTTACAAAACCTAGAATTACCAGGTATTTTAATAACAATACTTAGTGGTACTACCAGATTAAATGAATCTTTCGTTCCTAATTGTCAACCCTATAAACAACTCTACAACAGCATAGATAACGTCGCCACCATCCATCACACAGAAACTGGATGACTTGCAGCAATACCAATCGAACCACCTGAAAGGGACACACAAACCGAAGCCCAACTCAGTTGAGTCATCGACAGATCGGCAATCCCTTATTCAACAAAGAATGCCACTCTAGAATTGTAATTAATAGACAAATACTAATTGTGTTAGGAGAAAGAGGCTACCATGGATGGGAGGCGAGGGTACAAACAAGATCCCATCCATAACCCATGGTCGTTTTCCACTTGCAGAGTTAATCTAAAAGCGATGGTAAGGTAGAACTATGAGCGGCAGAGCAGATCTCTGTATTACACAAACAGACTATGAAACACATAGTAATGGGCATCATACATCACCCGAGCAAATTCGAAATTAATCTAACATAGTCATGGATGGGAGGAGAGGACTGCAGGATCTATCGAACAGGCCAAGAAACTGAATGAGATGACGCTCAAGAGGAGAAGAGGAAGGGGTGACCTTGGATTATGGGGTTACCCGGGCGTCAGCTATCTCCGTCGAGTACAACACCCCACTCGCCGGCGGCCTCCTTCCTTCCATCCCGCTGTCTCTTCTTCCCCCTTACTGCTAGGCCATGGAAGCTCCGTGGCAGCGGCAGCGGCCAACTACATCTACCAGAACAAGCGACACAAATTCAGACCAATTGTTTCCCAAATTACAGAGCCGTCACAGAAATGCAGGTGCAGCAAAGAGGGAAATCACAAGATGTTGTAAGAGAGGGGCAGAGCGGTGACGTACCATCATCCATCAATCATGAGGCGGCTGGAATCAAGGGAAGGGAGGCAGTGGCAGCACGACCTGCTCGGTCTCCATGGGGTCGGACCGCCAGATCTGGACACCACCAAGAGCAACAGGCACGAATTGAGCACGACCGGGTGGACGCGGCTCCCGTGATGGTGCTCCCCTCGCTGGCCACCATGCTGCCCCTCTTGCTCTCCTCCCCCTCCTCAATCGGGAAGAGCAGCAGGAGCCGAGGCTGTGCGTGCACGGGGCAGAAGAGGGGCTCACCAAGGGAGAGATCCAGGAGGGGATGGGGAGGGAGGTGGCGGCACGATCTGGTAGGAGAGGATGAGCGGGTGGTGGCGTGCGGGTGCTGGCAGCGAGATCGGCTGAATCGGGGGCGGGAGGGAGGTGTCGGCTGCGAGGAGTGCATCTGAATCGGGGGAGAGGAGTGGGGTTAGGGTTTGGGTGCGGCGACGAGAGAGGGGACGAGGGAGGAGGGGTTTGGGCTGCGGGTGGGGGTGGGGGTATCTCTTTTTTATTTATTTTTTCTATACATAGATGGATGGATGGATGTGGAATGGAGAGATGGATGGATGGATGGATGGGCGCCATGTCATCGATCCGTGGAACGAGTTCTGATTGGTTCGAAAATTGATTGATTTAAAATAGTTTCCAAGTATTAAAAATAGAGGGATTTTGTGAAGCAGCTATCAAAAATATTTTCTAGAAGTGCATCACACAAATTTTCACGAGAGTTAGACCACATTTTATGGATAAGGACCAATTTGTATGCTTATCTGATCTTTCTAGCTATTTTTAATCATTTTTCAAGTGCCTGAAATGAGGTTTTTTGTGAAGGACCTACCATATATTTGTTGCAAAATTGTACCAAATCAATTTTCTAAAATACTAGGACATATTTAATGCACAATTGACCAAATGGTTGGGTGTAAAAAGTTTTGATCCACCTCTCGTGAAAAAGACAAATTCCCACCGATTCAGTTGGAAGCGGGTCAAATTTGAACTATAGCTACCTCGTAGTTTGCTCTTTATTTTTTCCAAAAATCATTTCTAGGTACATAAGTATCTATTTAATCCAAGAAACACCAAAAAAAATTCATGATTCAACCACTAGCTAGGAACAGTTATTCCCGCCATTTTGACCGCATTTTGAAACGGGCATAAAAAATTCAAAAAAATCAAAAAATTGGAAAACCTTAGCAAAATGAAACTTCTTCTTTTTTTCTCGGGGAAATGGAATTTATAGGCTTGGATTAGGTCAGAGGGGTGCCTATGGGACCCACAAGGCATCAGGGCGTGCCCTGGGGGGGGGGGGGTATGCGCCTGGTGGATCTTCATTCCAGTATTTTTTATATATTCAACAAAAAATCCCCGCAAAGTTTCGTCCGGTCCTGAAAACTTTTATTTTCGCACAAAAAACAACACTATATTAGTTCTGCTGAAACAATGTCAATCTGGGTTAGTTTCATACAAATCATGCAAATTAGAGTCCCAAACAAGAGCAATAGTGTTTGGAAAAGTAGATACGATGGGGACATATCAGTCCTCAAGGACTTTGGCATGGCGTCGGGGCTATGCACGAACTTGGCCAAGTGCTCAGCACACCCAGTTAGGTGCACTGACGAGCAAATCAACTTGATAACTACTGAGATAGGTGCCCAGTGTTGGGCTGCCCGCGTTGCTACTTGGGCTCCTGTTGGGCCTAAGGAAAATCATGGCAGGACAACTGCAGTTTCTGGTAGACAAGATGGCAGATAGACTCCCCGCCTGGCAGGCCAGATTGCTATACCGTGCCGGCCGCCTGGAACTTGGCAACACCACTCTGGCATCGAACTAATTCATGCCATGATGGCGATGGACCTACCCATCAAAACTCTGGAAGCTGCTAACAAAGTTTGCAGAAGTTTTATCACGCCCAATATGCGACCCTATCCAAAAGGAACTCGAAGGTCCCACCAAGGATAGACCTGCATATTGCAACGCTTTTGCAAGGTGGATATCATTACATCAACATTACATAATAGATGGGGATACATACATAAGGCATACAATGCCACATTAATACAACATCACAATACATAAGAGCATCATCCGACTACGGATGAAACACAAAGAGAAACTCAAACGACATCCACCCTGCTAGCCCAGGCTGCCGACCTGGAATCTATCCTCTGATTGAAGAAGAAGCAGAAGAAGAACTCAACAGAAGCAAGCATCGCTCTCGCGTCATGACCATCGCATAAACCTGTACCTGCAACTGTTGTTGTAGTAATCTATGAGCCACGAGGACTCAACAATCCCATTACCCTGGGTATCAAGACTAGCAAAGCTTAAAGGGAAAGGAAGGGGTAAAGTGGTGAGGCTGCAGCAGCGACTAAGCATATATGGTGGCTAACATACGCAAATAAGAGCGAGAAGAGAGCAAAGGAACGGTCGAAGCTAGCAATGATCAAGAAGTGATCCTGAACTCCTACTTACGTCAAACATAACCCAGAAACCGTGTTCACTTCCCGGACTCCGCCGAGAAGAGACCATCATGGCTACACACGCGGTTGATGTGTTTTAATTCGGATCTGGTGTCAAGTTATCTACAACCGGACATTAACAAATTCCCATCTGCCTATAACCACAGACACGACTTTCGAAAGATTATACCCTGCAGGGGTGTCCCAACTTAGCCCATGACAAGCTCTTGCGATCAATGAAGGAATAGACCTTCTCCCAGGAAGACCCGATCAGACTCGGAATCCTGGTTTACAAGACATTTCGACAATGGTAAAACAAGACCAGCAAAGCCGCCCGATGCGCTGACAATCCCGATAGGAGCTGCACATATCTCGTTCTTAGGGCAACATCGGATGGGTCAGCCTATGAGTAAAACCAGACCTCGAGTTGCCCCGA